AACAACAAAAATCAGAAATCACGCGCATTACCCAGATAGCAGGATGTTATTGGACCTTTGTTGGGCCAACAATGCTCCTTATGTTGGGCCACCGTTTGTATTCAACATTGGGCCATCGGTAATTTGCTCATCGGCCCTTAATCAAACCAACTTGTTGGCTTATTGTTGGGCCAATGTAACAGTTAATATTGGGCCACTGTTGGGCCAATGTATTATTTCAATATTGGGCAAACGTCATTTTTGTACAATTGGGCCATTGTAAGCAGTTAATGTTGGGCCAACGGTAATTTGCTCATCGGCCCTTAATCAAACCAACTTGTTGGCTTATTGTTGGGCCAATGTAACAGCTAATATTGGGCCACTGTCGGGCCAATGTATTTTTTCAATGTTGGGCAAACGTCATTTTTGTACATTTGGGCCATTGTAAGCAATTAATGTTGGGCCAATGGTAATTTGCTCATCGGCCCTTAATCAGACCAACTTGTTGGCTTATTGCTGGACCAACGAACGGATATTATTGAGCCATTGTTGGGCCACTTATTCTTTCAATATTAGGCAAACATCATTTTTGGGCCAACGTTGGTTTGTATCTTATTGGCTCTCCATCATGACAACTCATTTGCTCTTCACTGGTTGGCCATTTGTCCTCAAAATTGACAAACAAATACATATATTAAGGTTATACTAGTTTTGTAGTACAGTTTAATTTTAAAAGCCCTGTAATACTATCTATATATGCTAGATTAATAGTTTAATACATATTCTCAATATATATCTCATAGCATTAATTAAAAAACTGAGGAAAAAGAAATCAAAATATAAAATTAAATTATAACATACTAGTATTTTATTGCTCAGTGCATGAAGAAAACATTAATAAAGAAATAAAAGTTGATGCTCACTTCAAGCGATACATGTAAGGTTACATGACTGTATACTCCCTCTCTGATGTAAATTTATGCACAAGTTCAGTAAATTGCAGGTATCAATAAGCAGGTCCAACAAATAAACAAAGCCCCCCTGTTCTTAAAATAATACTAAAATGAATCCCGTCATTTTGTTTACTTACACAAAAAATGTTTCTGGCATCTGCGTCGTGTTTGTAACCGACAAACAGACACAGAAAAGGGTAGAACTACAGGTTTGTCACAGTATATAACAGAAAAAAGCTAGGCACTGCCACTTTCCATCTGATCCCTCTCTTCAGTCTTCTCTCTCCCGAGTCTCCTCCTCCCCCTTCTTTTCTTCTCTGTCTGTTTCTTCCTCCCCCATCCCTGTCCTTGGCATACCTTAGCTATTCTTTGATTGTGTTCTGAATGTCTTTTTAGAATCTCCAGTAGCACTAAAATTGTAGTATTTGGTACTTAATACATTTGTTACTTTTCTCAGTAAAGAGTTAACATACGATTAAATTTACAAGTATATCACTATATGTTTAAGCTGTCAATTAAGGAATAACAGTCTTCTTTGTTTCATGGTGTGATTAAGTGATTAGCTTGCATGATGAAGGCATTTATGCATAACATTTCTACGCTTGGTCATCATCATCATCATCATCATCATCATCATCATCACAACGATTTTGATTCAATGTTGCCCCATATAAAATACATGTATAGAAAAGTCGTTACACTGAACAAATTTTAATTGAAAGAACCCAATTTATGTTTAGTACTGAATAAATTTAGTTTTAACTTCAACAAGTTCAACATTTTCAAAATGTTTGATCATGTGCTCGACGTTAAGTGTATATAAGTGAATTAAGTGGTAGACTTCGGAAATGTATTTTACTATTCACACATTTCAATCTAAATAAGGGGCAAATTATTTATTGTTTTAACTGTATCAAAACACATTTGTTATTTTATACTTTATTTTTCTTGTATAAAAACAAAACATTTAATCACTGATAATTTATTTTGTTTTGATAAATTATAAGAATTTTAACAAGCCTTGTAAATTCATTTTAGCTAGCTTGTACTTTCAAGTAGGATTGGTTGTAGATTTATTTTTGATTGTAGAGACGATCAGATTTGTTAATATACAGATTTGTGACAATTAAATGTTTATACACATTGGCCCAATGTTGGTCCAAAATATCGGGCCAACATTGGACCAAGGAGCAAAATGACACTGGGCCAGCGTTATTTGCCAACATCGGCCCAATGTTCCTATTGACGTTGGTCAAACAATGTCGCATTCATTGGGCCAATGTTGGCGCAACGTTGGGCCAATATCTGTAGAAATAACACTCTACACTGGGCCAACGTTGGCCCAACATATCGGGCCAACATTGGGCCGATGAGCAAACTTAAATTGGGTCAATGTCATTTGCCAACATTGGCCCGATGTAACCGATTGCATTGGCCCAACATTGGCCCTATGTTAGCATGCCATCTGGGGAACAGTGTTGACCCAACAGCACCTGGCCTCTGCACTTCCCTGTGTCTGCTTTGCGCAGATTTGTACATGATATCGTTTAAAAACTAAACGTTAATTCAGCTGTGCCGAGGCAAACATATTATAAATACTTACAAAGTGGATGCAGATATTCAAGGTATCAGTCTCATTACGCTCGCTCGTGTCAGATTAAAAATGGCGCGGATATTACGGTTGTTGTCTACCCATGATGCTCAGTCAGATTCATGGTTTATTGGGCCAACGTTGGGCCGATGCCAATCCCCAAACAAATATTTTCTCTAATGATAATAATTTTATGATATAATGCGAACAGTTAGCCCAACATTAGCGCACCATTATACATAACCAGCTATCGATATTCCATGTTGGGCCATTGTTGGCCCAATAAAGGTAACCCAACATAGATAATACAGCCATGATGTAAGATTGGGCCAACGATGTTCTGCTATCTGGTTTATTACAAATAAATATAAGCATAAACACAATTCAAAAAATAGAATAAAACACTCTTTGGTGCTGTGATCACTTAAGTGCAAAGTTAAAATGTTGAAAATATCATATCTAAACAAGAACAGTCATCCAATGATAAGCATGGACATAGAAAGTCCTCTTAATTATTTCAGAATGTGCCAACGTTGTCCCAACGTAAAGCTCAGCAGCTATAATTATAAAATTGACACCATCAATTAATTGGCAGTATAATAACTGGGCCTACGTTGTCCCTATATAAATATCCCATCTTTTAAACACCTAAACAAAATAACACTTGTGTGTATTACAAATATTGTGCCAATGTTGAGCCAACATACTACTACCAACTTGATAGGACACGTTCTTTAAGGGTGTATTAGAAACAATGGGCCAACGTTGGACCAACATAATACTATCAACTTGATAAGACATTTTCTTTAAGGGTGTATTAGAAACATCGGGCCAACGTTGGGCCAACATACTACTTGAACTTGATAAGGCACTTTCTTAAAGGGTGTATTACAAACAATGGGCCAACGTTGGGCCAACATATTACTACTAACTTGATAAGACACATTCTTTAAGGGTGTATTACAAACATCGGGCCAACTTTGGGCCAACATACTACTACCAGCTTGTAAATACACCTTTCTTTAAGGGTGTAGTATAAACATTGGTCCAACGTTGGACAAACACCAGGATCCTTCCTTCCTTGGGAACTAAAGTGAGTGGAAGTTGCTTACGTTGGACCAACGTTGGGCCAATATAGGAATTCTGTCATGGTCAAGAAGGTTGATTTGGTAACATTGGTCCAAAGTTGGCCCTACGTTGTTACCCCAACGCCAACCATACAACCTTTTACAAATGTTGGCCCAACATAGTCATGCTATCTGGGTATGTGGGTATATGGGAATCTCTGTCCTTTAATTAACGAACGAATGCCAGTTCAAAACACAACACAAAGTTAATCAAGTCCAATCATCAGAAAAATATACTCCACATGACTCCACATGGGCATTGCAAAATCTGCACATGTGAATAACACGCACGTCTATCACAAATTGTGGGCAACACCCTCGGTTAAGTAAACCAAAAAATAATCTCAAACAGCACAAATCTTGCAAATTGTGACAATAATCAACAAATGATGGAATAAGAAAGCACTTCTCTTGGCTGACTATAACGATCACAAAAAATTGTCATTTCTTCAAAATAGACGTGCTTCATGTTAGCATTGGTGAGCGCGCGAGTGTGAATGACTCGCTGAGCTAACCACGTGACCTTACACATTCTATTACAATTAATCCCTCAGGCAAGGCGTGGATCTGAGAATTTTCACAATTTACCAACGTAAATGTTTCCGGAAACCTCCAAACAAATTATCGCATTAAATACATAAATACAATTATTATTCTAATAATTGTTGTTTGTTAAAAACACTATTACATGCACATGATGATTAATGAAGTTACGCACTCCAGCGTAGGGTGACATTCCAAAAGATGTTGAGTGCACAGGGTTTATGCGCACAAGGTTTACTGTAATATATACAATGTAGTAGTATTTGTATAAAAAAAAAATCAGTATTATATGATAAATATTGCATGTCATGGAGTGTAACATCGCAAATTTTCACCCCGAGAAAACCATTACTGACAATGATTTTCTTGGGGAAAAATTTTCAATGTTACACTCAACGGCATGCAATATTTATATAATATAGTATGTTACTGGTTACGTGTTGAAGTGTATAATTTGAGAAACACTTGTAAGAATGGTAAAATATACCTTTTCTTGTGTTTGTCTTTTGCTTAAATTGAAATATTAAAAAATTGTGGAATGATACGTTTTGCCAGTATATTTATCTTACGATACTGATGAACAATAACATTGATGCATGTGATATGGTAAGTCAAATATGTGTTTAACATACATGTACAGCGTATAAATGAGGTGCGTGCTATTTTAAAAAGTCAGTGCAGCATGTAAATTAATTTTTTTTTGAAAACTTATTTGAGAAATATAACATTTAACAAAATATATATAAAAAAGAAATAGTCAAGTGAGTGTAAGGTGAAGATTAAAAAGGCACCGTTATATACTTTCAGTTATGTCTTGTTACCGTTAGTGGACCAATAGAACAATACAAGTCTCTGGGAACACAAAACACAGCCTCCTTCTCCATGAACGGTGACGTCATAGATTTGCATTATTCGGACGGTGATGGCGGGTAGGTGAAATTTCATCACATTTCAACAAACCTTCGTGTTCTATTCTGTTAAAGTAGTTGTTTATTAAGTAATTATTATTAATTTTTTAATGAGTTATTTCCCTTTGACCACCATATTGGAGGTTAACATGCTCATATTCCTTGAATTATTAAACCAACTTTAATTCTTGATACTGGCAATTGTGGGGTAGGAAGCATTCATATTCAAAAATAATTGAAATATTTAATTAT